CTCATTCTTTTCCTATTGTGATTTTGTTAATTTCTCTGTTAATTTATCTGAACACGCTGATAAGGTCCTAGTCCGCTACATGCCTTAGACCACCTTTGGAGTATGATAGCCGTGTGAATAGAAATACATGTTTTGCTATCGACTGATAGTAACAAGGGATAACGGGTACCTACTATGCAACACTTTATAAAACTCTATCGGGCCAAATACGGGGACTTTTTTTGGTCCAACCGCATTTTCTACATGCAGTTTGTGCACGAAAAACCCGTCACAGAACTTGATCTACCATTACAAAACTGATAAAGGGGATTGTTCTGGTAAGCGCCTGTGACAGCGATGCTGGGTATTTAAGGTTCGCGATGCGCAAGCAATAGTTCGGAGGTTTAAACCTCTTAATTTTATCAAAAGCTTCCTGATATTTTGAAGATAAAACTTAGTTGCTTTCAGTTGATGATAGAGCTTTTATAAGTTCACGAAACTCATATTTTTGGGGGAAAATTGTAACCAGAAACGAAGTGCACCTCAACTGGGTTATCACATTGCATCTGTTCTGGAAAGCCAGTCAGCATTAGTTAGAACAAATACCAGAAGTTTTTGGTTCGAAATGTGTGACAAGTGCTGCACTGCATTTAGGGTCTGTTGTTGGAAGCAAACCACGAACTCTGATTGGCTCGGCTTGTAATTTCTTTTTATCTGTGTAACGGATATCTGAGGAGGTTGGGTGGACATTAGTGGGTATATAGCGAATAGCTAATTTGAAATGGATGTGAGAACGCAAATGACAATTGATCTGACGGAGAAAAAATAGGTCACAGGATACATTCTATACAATCCAACTTGTTGGGTTGAATAACTGTTTTCCTCCTCGGCCTGCATACAATTCAGAAAGTGACTGTTTTTTTTCAAAAGTTGTATTCTGTGGATCGGGATAGAAAAGTTTTCAATCATTTACGCGAAATAGTGCATGAGTTGATGGAATGTTCCACAATCAGTATCATGGACACTGGTTTAAAGTCTTGCCCGCAAGTGAAAATGACTGTTTGCACTACAGCTCTCTTCGTCACCGAGGCTACTGCATTTCCGACAAAATTGGTTAAGAAGGCAGAAATAAACAAAATGTCATTGTCTTACTGCCCAAACGAGGAAGAATAATGTTCCAGGCTCGTAAGTTATGCACTGTCATGCACTTCACAAAAGTGCTTTCAAAGACAACCGACTGCTGTCACCTGTTTTGAAATACTGACTGTTTTAAAGCATTTTTGAGTGCGCCGCGGACAAAATAGCTGAACGTATTCTGCCTTAAGTTTTCAAACTGAAAGATAGATAACACTGCAAACGGACGGGACCTGTTATCCGTTTTGACCGAGGATTTTTTATCCCGCCAATAGTATTGACGATCTGAAATTCGCACCTCTTTTCTAAATGGACTGAGAGCACTCCCGGTAAAAGTAAAAGGGTTACGTGATGATTTTTCCCAGCTTGCCTACAAAGTTCTAAAGTGCCATACCAAAGGTCGAACTGTTGGGTTCATCTACCAACATCGGTCTAAAAATAGTTGTCGTGTCCATCAGGAGCTAATTTCATTGTAAAATTAAATAGCACTACTGAGTATGGCTCACAGCGCCAAGTTAGTTCCTTATTAGACAATTTTGTGGGCTTGTTTATGGTCTCAGCTAATTAAAAATGGTCTTGCGACGTTGCCACCAGGAACCGAATGTGACACTACCATCTATGTCGTTGTGGGCTCTAATAGCCACGGACTACCAAGCCGCCTAACCTTAGTAACGAATAGATGGTTTGCAATTGATCCGTGAATGCTGAGGCAGCTGTGCTCTGACTTGCTGATTTTTCTAGATTAAAGTATGCTTTCGCTCTCCGACAGATAGGAAAATAGACATTTATTGAGAAGGTCTATCACGAAGGTCAGATTCCTGAAAGCAACCACTGGATGCCCGAAATCTACTGAGACCCTCAGCTCTGCCAGATGCTGACCAGACAGGCAACACCCGCTCAATAGGCAGCGCTTCACAGCCTTGTATGAAACCCAGACAGAGCGAGTCAGCGCTGATCAAGTTCAGACAACGCCTCCGCAATATGAAGCGCGTCGCAGACTCGTACCAAGCCAGACCGCGTGCGTCAGCATTGGACCAAGTTCGGACAGTGTCCCTCCAATAAATAGCTTGAGACCGTTGTACTTTCGCACTTTCACGCACTCACGCTCACGCTCACGCTCTCTCACTCACGCTCTCGCACTCGCCTGCTCAGAATGTATCTGTTGTGTTCCATTCTGTGAGTCTTTTTCCTGGCATTAGGCACTGGAGCGGGTCAGCAGTCAAATATAACAGATTGGCAAATCAGCAGATATAACAAGGTCCCATTTTCACACGGCGTTAATTTCATATGGAATCTCCTATCCTATCAAGATATATGACCTAATTTAAAACATAAAAGTCAGTTTTATGGTGGTAATTCTAGCTTTATTTCCAGTTCACGATAATGCAATATGAATAAATTCGACTTTCAAGCACTTACGTGTATCTGGTTTTCTATTCAGTTCATAAATTCGAAGCTTGATCTTGATTACGTTGGGAATGAAGTTAGTCCCCTTTGAAACGCAGGCTATAACAACCAGTAATAAGCAAAAGTCTATAGGACTGTGAAAATCAAGGATCGATTGTCTGACTGAGTTTTGACGCTTGAGTTAAAACAGATAGTTTCCAGTTAGAATCATAAGTATAGTCACTGGTCCTGTGCTGTTGCACCCAAAAAAAGTGTGTTGGACGTGAGCATCAGGCGATAAATTCTCGCGGTGTCCATCCGATGGGTGACCATCTGGAGAAAACCCGCAGCTAGTTAATTTTTCAGTCATGAGCCCTTGCGCTTGAAAAGACTGTCTAAAGGGGGCTGAATACAGATGGAGTTCAGATCTGGATTGGTTCCTTGCAGTGACTATTTAAAATGCAGACGCATCAGCTAGGATCGAACCCAGAGGTTGGTGGCATCAGGAAGATCACCCACGTGATGGTTTTACTGCTTTGCTTCAGTTCTGGAAAATGTAGTAAGAGAAGTTCCGTAAACAACTTTCTTTTATCTCGAAGTTAACACATAGCCCTGCGGAGAAAGCCAGCGTATTAAACCGCAACATTTTTCTCTATCCTGCTTTCTGAACTCGAGATAACTTAGTGGTTAAAGCACAAATTTACTGACTGGAAGGTGGTTCGAACCCAACCTGTGTACATCGACTGCTCCTGTCTGGGATCGAACAACCCGGCATTATCTCAACCCCCTTGCTTCCTTCTGGTGGCATGACAGCTAGGCACCGAAAGGGTGTTACAGCCGAACGATTATTATTCTTATTATAACAGTATATGATAAATATAATATAATAATAATGATAATAATAATTATTGTCTTGTCCTGTGTCTGCTTTTCAGATATCAGCAAAATCAGCCCAGCTTTTGATCGTAGTTTCGTGTTGACTGCCTCCACCCCTGGCTGGTACCACAAGAAAGTTCAAACTACGTCCATTGCTCAGACGGAAGGAGATCGTGGGCACGACATCATATGAGTCCATCAGGGGTGCTGTCGTGGATGTTTGTAGTAGATTTCAGTGCTTAACTTAGCTTACTTAATTTGGTTACAGTAATACGGTTGTGAGCAGACTCAAGGTACGAAGTTTTATTGCATTGTTGATCACACAAAGCACTTTTCGGATGGGCATTGGAACGATCGGTTCTACGAAAACCGGTGAACAGGACAATAATATAGGCTTATATGCCACCGCATCGTGGAATCTGTGATAATAGTAAGACTGCTAGCATTTGATACCAGCTAACTAACTGTATGTCAAAACCTGGAGGAATCAGATGGTGTTCTGACGCCGTATAACTAGTGAATGAGATCTACAGGAACGTAAATGCATTTCGTCCTTGCTTAACGCATGGGAGTGAATCATCCGTCGCCCGTGGGCAGCTCTATGTCTGGGACGCTGAATGTCTCACGAGCCTGTTTTGAGTCACAATGACTGAAATTTTTTTGGGCCAAGAGATTTTCCTATATGATCTTTAACAATAAAGGCCCGTGGGCAGCTCTATGTCTGGGACGCTGAATGTCTCACGAGCCTGTTTTGAGTCACAATGACTGAAATTTTTTTGGGCCAAGAGATTTTCCTATATGATCTTTAACAATAAAGTACCTTGACTGCAACACTAATTTTTTTTTACTGAGGATGAAAGATATTAGCGTACATTGTAGTTTTTAACTAATGGCAGCTGATTAACTTTCTACGCAACGACACATGTATTAGCACATCATTGTCATAATGACTGATGAAATGACCAACAATTCATGAATAAACACATGCTACCGACTTTAGGCAATATGTATAAGTAATGTTGAAATAAAAATAAACGTGCAAACGGTCACAAATATACCGAGAAAACGAACTTTCATCATCAGTGAGCTAGTAGTAGCCAAGTTTTCAAAAATAGTTCAAGAAATAGGGGGAGTATGCTCTTTCAAATTTACTTTACTGTACTAATTTATAATTTTTTCTGAGATTTTTCAGAGTAGCAGTTGTAAACTAGTATCATACTAAAAGAATGGTAGATTTCTCGATGCCCTTGGTATTAGGCAGAATTGATCCGCATTCATGTAGTTGGTCCTCGCCCGGACAAAAACACAATAAATAGCTTCTACAGAAACGACGAGTTCCATTTTATGGGGTTCAGCTATAAAACACAAGGCCTGATAACTTATGGATTCCGTATGAGGGTCCTGACAAAATCTGAAACAGTTACTCGGCTTTCCACCATGCACACGAAAAAAATCCAAGAATTAAGTGAACTTGGGGTGAGTGGTTTGTGACAAGATCTGAGGGGTGAATGTATAGAGTGTGGTATTTTGCTCAGCAGTTTGATATCAAGTATGAATAAAGTCACAGGTACTACTTGATAGCATTAAAAAAAGTCACTTGTCTGATAGCTTTGTATTTGCTTATAGCGTGACAAGTATATCACCAAAAGTTTTGCCAAAACAAAATCTATGGTATCTTCAATCACATGACTCCACAATATTTGTAGATCCACAAAGTTACATGATCTTCATGAAGTGACTTTTCCTATGGCAGTACATTTTCTGGAAGCATTAGGATTGCGCGTTAATCAGCGCTTGGTATTAGGAATCTTCGCGTAGGTTGCCACGCGTGAAGTATGTGTTATGTTACAAGGAAGAAAAGATGCTCTAGAGAAGACGTTGATCATTCATTGAACACATTCATTCGATAATAGTGGAATGCGAAAGAATGAAAGAAGACGTAAAAGTTGAAACTGACTCAACTTATTAGCAGATTCCCAATATACATCAGTGTGGGAGTATTCACTGCATACATACGTCGACAGTCTAAGAGGCCTAATCTATAAGGGAATGGTCTCAAATTTACAGAATCGTAGTAAAATAAATTAGGAGCCAGACATGTTTTAGTTAAACCAAGGATTCGGGTTTTAAACACGCCGTTTGTTGAACAAGACGTGCTACCGTCTCAGGCCGTATCTAGCAGACGCGTTCAGGGATATGGCACGCATCGGTACTGATTTGGTACGGTAAACTGATTGGAGTTAGTAAAAGGCGCGTTTGCTTTCGGCCACACTCTTTAAAATGTAATTATGACTTGTCCGTAAGTTGCTGCTTTGACCAACTTCCATCCATTTGCATTGTTCGCCGGTGGCTGGTTCGCTGAATAACTGGAAAGGTAGGAAGCAGGACACAGTCAATACCTCGCAAATCTCAGCATTGTGACGTGTAGGTTGTGAGCTTGAAAATTACAATCAGTTCACAATTATCGGTAAAATCGATGGTATTAAGGACGTTTTACTAGATATGTTTGTAACTCGAGTCTGATACAACACCCCATGGATACCCAGTGTGGTGCACAACCGTGTGGTCATGGTGGATATGGAATCATCACCGGAAGAATCATTTGAGTCTGCACAATTTGATGTTTCTAACGGTATTTCATTATCCCCACAGGTGACATACCTTGTCAGGTTTATTTTTCGGCCTATAGCCAGCGTATAAATATTCTCTCTACATGTCCATTCATGTGCTGAGTAAGGATATGTTTTTCAATTTCCAAAGTAGTGAAAACAATAGGAAATCTCTTATCTAATCAGGCTTTATATGTGGATCTCTCATTCAAACAATGTGCAGACTAGGCGGAAATTTGTTGGGGATGCTTAAGGGGTTTTGTTTTGTCATGTGCTCATAATGGACCGCATCAACAAGGCTCGTTAGTCATCGCCACGTACATCTTGAAACACACAATTTACCAGTGAAAGATGGGTCGGTTTATTTATCTAAGAAGACGACCCAGTCATGTTAGAGTTATTTATTGACTCAAACGCAGAAGTGCATGTCGGGTGCTTCGCCATCCATATTTCGCTCTTCCGAAACGAATTGCTAATCAACAATCTCAAGAAGGAGGGAATCTAATTGGTGATCTTGAACCACGCTTACTATACACCTGATCATATAAGCCAAAGAGCCACTGTGACCGTAGACCTCAGGGGTATATGCTCCAGTTCCGTACTGAGGTCAGTAATGATGGTAGTATTATTGGGTCAACAATGCCAGAAGTGCAAAACACTTCAAACAAGTCCGTGTTCCTGTGTCGAAAACTACAAAATACACGATATCATTTCTTTTTAAATACTCTTGGAAGTCTAGGACATATTTATCAGTCTTCAGAAAGCACCAGCGACAGACTAGTTACATCAAAACATGAGATGGTACTGCTAGAAGGTTAAATCAATTACAAATATCGATCGCAGCGAAAATAATTAAGAGATCTTTACTGCACGCGAACTAAAATATCACCCGGTTGCAAAGTGGTTGAACACAACTCGTGAGCATATTCAGACGATTATTTGAGATCATTCCCTGCAACTCCATTTTTCCAAAAACAATTTGGGTCTTTTTATTTAGATCTGTTCACTAAAATTTCAAATAATAAATTGCTCTCTAAAAGGAGGGTGCGAATTATAGTTCGTTAAGGTACTTGAAAAAAGGGAGCTTTTACTACACTTGATAACTTTGACATTACCATATGGTTTTCAAAGATCAACTGGTTTGCTGCAGGTGATGTACAGCAATGTCTAATCGGATCTACAAATTTCTGATTTTGACAAATGGGTTTGATTCTCCCATAACAGCATTCAGCCGGACAACTCAAACTGCCTCTAAGACAGACGAGTGCCATACGGAGGTATTCTTGGTCCATTCATTTAATCATTCTGCGGCTGTGTGAACCGGTCAGCCATAAAAAACAAGACAAAAGGTTGCGTCACCCATTATTCTGCACATACCTTATCAGAACTAAAAATCTTGGGAGGTTTGGATGTCGAAACACAACATCGCTCTTTCAACTGACATACATCATATTGCTTATTTTGAATCACCGGGTTTTGAGAAATCTTAATCCAAAAGTAACGGTGTATTACGACTTTTGCACCGTGAACTTTCTCTAATAATCACTCAATGACCTATTTTTAGTAAGATAGGACGGAGCAACAGTATATATGGTGAAGAGTTACTCTACTAGGAGAAAGACATACTTTTGTCAGCACGGGTAAACTTACTTTGAGAAAGTCGTCACCCATGTATGCGCCTTTTGCATTTCCTTCATGGATGTTGATCACGACTGTCTCGGTCCAAGCGCTATCTGCATTCAGTTGATCATCTAGATAGCCTTTGAATATCTGGAGAATAAGGATTCAGTATTACATTAATCGGAGTGCCCTGCTTAGTTTTCGTGTCAGAGAATAGGTAATTTGCATTCAAGAAGTTTTATCTGAAAAGGATACCTAGTTCCTTTGTTCAACTTATAGGACTACCCCAATGAATTTGGACTAAATGCGCATACAGCAATTAGTTTCGCCCTTTAGGAGGAGGATGGCTGATTTTTTGAATGCGAATGCTACATCCCTTGTCTATTTAACTAGTTGTAGTGCCCATCCTTATTTGTTCAGTGACTTTTTCAGCCTTTTTTCTCAACCGGGAAGCATGACACTCGCTTTACATATTTGAAAAACAGTCTTTGTAATATGTATTCTCTCCGGTTATGATCACTTAAGTTTCCTGGAGCCTTTCAACATTAAGTGAGCTGAGAGCCACTACTTCGGAGTGTCCACAAAATCAAGCTGTTATTACAACTTGACAAATCTTTGACTCGAAGACTGACCATTATATTCGACGTAAACCAGCGCACCGAAGTGTCAGAGATTTTTTTTCATATGTCACTAAAGCACGCAAACTGAAATATAACCTACTCCAATTTTGAGTAAACTAATCTGTTATAAGGCACATCTGTTTGAAGATAGGCACCTACTCTGTAGAGGCCAGACCAGCCTCATCAACAGTGATTTAGTGAACCAAACCCAAAAACCTGGAGTGACCAAACATCATCTTTTGTTCAAGATAGCTCAACTTGAAGGAAAGGTTATTGTTCGACACAAAACTCCGGCCTAATTTCTTGAGCATAGATAAAATCAGAAGCTTGCTTCAAGGGATAAAATCTACCAAGGTCTGTCAAGTTGTACCATTCTAGGGCCTAATACGGTAGAAGTAACATTTTGAGAATTATAAGCTCAACAATACTATCTGTTGATCAGTCAAATTAGTTAAAAACTCATCCAAATGTGCTTATTATCAAAAAACCTTGATTTTGAGATGAAAATCGCAACAGGTATGGGTCATTATATAGGGAAAAAATTGAGGGAGAACAAAGGTATTTGGCTTAGATCGCTTTAGTGACATGATGTGTTGATTCCATAACGTGCTAAATTTGGCTCCGATGCTAGGGAAAAACAACCTCGGAACTTTCGTGAAGCATGTTTCGTTAGGCTTTAATAACCGCAATCGTTCATTGTTGTATTGTATGGTATCAAGTTATCCTGACTTTAAGGAATAAGCCTTATTCATATTACTAAAGCCTGTAACCAGTAGTATCTCACAAATCGTGTTTATTATCAAACAAACTTGAGCTTTTCACATATGAGAAGTGCTAGTTTTGAGTGTCGATGCCCATCCGATCTCATTATGTTCAGCTGTAATTTTCTACTAAGTGATCATCGTGCGGTAGATTCAAGGCCCTAAGCCTTTTATGAGACAGCGATCCTAGCCATCCAGCAGTACCAATGGGTGCGCTCCATGCTCTAACACTCCACCACCCATCGAACCTGATGATCAAGACTGGAATGTTTTCTGCGGAATCAACAAACTTCGGATGATACAGCTGCCCCTGAAGCGTCTGAGCCTGATCATGTTGCGGTGGCCTGTGTAACTCAGCAGTCAATTGATCCATACATGAGGACGCTGCTACTAGGGTCGCTCGTACAAGGCTGATTAACAGACACAGATCTGAAGATCAATCTCCTGGCCATTCAGGTTGGGTTTTGAAATAAGTACTGCAAATCGTTCCCCAAACTTTAAACTACATGTTGGTCCTAAGCAAACTATATCTGCCTTGCGGTTAAGTTTTTGTGCCTGAGATTAGTTATAGGAACCCAGCTCGATAGGTGAAGGCAGGCGCCGGGATTTCTAGACAGAATATTTGCAACAGTATCTTACCCAGTGTTCAAATTAGGCTATAATATGAATTCAGATCATGTTACAGTTGGTGAAGTACTGATGTGCCCTTCTGACTTGAGTTGCTGCTGAGCTAACGAGTCAGTGGAAATCCCAGTGTTCTTAATTTGAGGTGTGCTGAATCTTTATGTTCAGGTCTAACTAAATTGAACTCGTTTTGAGCCAATCGGATCATTAGACCTTCATTCAAAAAGACATGTGCAGCACTGTTCCAGCCATAGTGGAATATGACTCACTTCTGTCTTAACACGGGCACTAGCCTCACATATACTATGACTTCTAACCGTGGCACATAAGACGCAATTTTTGGGAGCGTCAAACGTGATGCTGACCAGTTAGAGGTTGCTGATAACATGCTTACGTCAAGCGCTTTAGCAATACCACACGAGCCGCCAGCCGACTACTATTGCGAAGAAGTCTTTTATTCCGTAGATATTTTGCTCCTTCTACATACATTCGACTAAGGAATGCATCTGACTTTTTTTAAATATATGCTGCAATTTCCGTTTCCACGTATCAGGTCAAGTAAGAGCTTACATCGAATCACTCTTATAAACAGTGCGGTTAAACTAGGCTGTTATCTCTCTTCCCCTGACTGTTTTTGATTTTACCGTCGAAAGTATTATTGGCGGCAGATTTCGAAATATTGAAATACCAGCTACGTGGATTTCATCACTTCGTAAATTGATGGCGCTGGTGTGAAAAGGCTACTTTTACTAATTCAGTGCCCTCCAACATTCCACCGGTTAGAGAGATATTCTTCACATGGTTGTGTAGGAGATGAGCGCCGGTATCTAGTACTGGTGTATTTATTTCGGCGACGATGATGATATATTATATAAAAAATGGAACCGTACAATCATTCACATTCAGGATTCCGGGCTGTGAAATATAAACGCATGTCTGAGGGCGACAATTATTCTCAAATTTTTTTGGCGAAATATTCATTGTTTAACCCAATCAGCCAGATTTTCCGGCTGTCTGGCCTAGGCTTTTATTAGTTGTAGGTGGTTGCGGGATTTGTAGAAATCAAGTCCACATCACTCTTGTATGAACAGCTTTCTTGCTATCTTGATACACTTATTCTGGGGGCTTCACACGAAAGCAGGGACTCAACAGGGACTCAAGCAGTGTGGACTCAACAGAGTAACTGCGCTAGTACAGGATGAGGAGTGTTCATACGATGGTGAGGTGAACGTGAACTTTCCGTTCACTACTTTCAGAACAGTAATAAAACAGTAGGGGGAAAACTTATCATTGGTCTACTTATTTATATGAATTTCTACATTATACCATCTTCTGCATCGTCTCTTGCACTTCCTGCGTAAAATCAATCGAAGGAGATTCCCAAAAATTGGATTCCGAGTTCACTGAGATCATTTAATTTGAAGGCGAGATTTTATTACTGGCGGATATGAGTAGTTAGTATATTAAGCACTCCCACATCAGGGTGAGATCATGTTCAAGCTTGACATATCCCTGTACCTGGAAAGATGCATATTGTGACCACGGACAAACACGTGGAATGATAATTCTGGACGATGTGAAACAGAAACTACCTGTAACTGAGATTAGAAAAACATCTAGCACAAAGACAGTTCTTACCTGAGTCACTTCAGCCTTGTCCAGTCGCTTGAGAAGTCTGTCAACGCGTTTTTCAGATAATGTGGCTCGAGCCCGGCGCGTAATAAAGCTGCTTATTACCTTGGGGACACATGTGTCAAGTTCGCATCGGTTTGAATGATCTGTGAGATACTGTAAACGATCCAGTTAGAAAAGTGTGAGCTGTAGTCTAACCTTAAACACTGGATTTCCCTGTTAAAGTGCATCTACTGACCTTTCCACGTGCATATTAGATAGAAGGGTTCATAATTTGCTTAAGTTCAACCGTTTTTGCAACAAGTCTTTATGTCTGTCTGCCGGTCGGAATTATACCCACTTTGTCTACTCATATGCTCAAGAAAAAAATGTAAAATTAGAATTAACCAATTACTTGGAACTACTCTTAGATAGACTCATTCAAGAAGGTATAGTAGTGCCGGTTGAATAACTTCAATTAGGTTGTATAAAAATAGTCAAAGGCCCAGTGATTGTTGCCAACTGTGCTGACGACGTTTAGCAAGCGTCAACGTAGTTTCAAAATACCACCCGTTATTGTGAACTAGGAAAAGATTCTCTTTAGATCGCATGGTAACCATTTAAACCAAGGCTTTTGGGAAAGAACTCATTATTCTTTTTGAAGTCAAAGAACATGAATGCATGTGAAGAGTGGTAGTCCTGTATTGAGTACTTGTGAAAATGCTGAACCGGGACCCCTAAACGTGTCTTAAAAATCCTTGACAAGTGGAGGTTTTGACGTGCCCCTCAACGCCATCTGGCAGTTCCCTAAAGAGCAAAGAAAACCCTCGAGTGGCATAAGTCTAGGTGAGCTCTTTACGAACCCTTAGCAGACCACAAACGGTCGCTAAGTGGTAGACCAGTCGAACATTGAATCTAGTGTTGAGGATCGTAGCGTATTAACCTCATCATGCTTCTCATTTTGCTTTTGTTTGCTTTCCTTACCATTTAGGAGGTGGCAAGCTTCCGTATTGTGAGGAAAAATTCGGGAATCGGTAGTGAGGAAACACAACCCACAACCTCACTGCTCAAGGTCTTAATCCAAATCAATCATTGCACCACTTCTTTTGCTGTCTGGAGGCTTCACAGCTGATTAAATCCAATACGCTAATTAAAAGTGAAGGGTGTGCCAGATGATCGATTTACTCCGGATACCATCTCCAAATTGGAAGAACGAGCTTCACACGAGCTACATACCCCAAACCTGGAGCTCACAGGTTCGTCAGGTAGACTTAGTAGGCTGGAACGTCGTTGATTCTATCGGCCGGTTCTCAGCTAATTATTGACTTTTCGAGGGGCTATTCAATTGTTCTCCATGTCACCTGCAAATGCCATTATATGTTCGAAAACTCTAGTCTGGGCTGATATTAAGCACGGAATTTAGGTGCCAGAAACACAAAAATCTGGTGACGTGAATTGTTCATTCTCCATCAGGTGTCCGCAAATTATCTAACAGCTCGTAGGGAGTCAGAAGCCATATAAAGCAGTCGGGTAAATCTGAAAATTAGGACCACAAGCAGCTTGGAACTTGAATTTGCCTCTTCCTCGTTGCGTCAACGGCTGGATAATCTGATTATGTGCAATTTCGCCAACAGTTTATGCTTACTAACGCGATTAAAAGTGTGTTGTAAAATTTCTGGTCACACAAGATCACAGGCGACGTTTTCATACGTAGGAATGTTCAAATAAGTCGCTCCAGCAAGTAAATATCCAACTCAGCCTAACTGAAAAAATCGGATCAATTTAAGCGGATAATGTAATAATAATAACAATAGTAATAACACTAATAAGAAGAAGGCGGGTAATGAAGTAAATTTCACGGATAGACGTGGCTACATGAGAACAGGCTCAGGACGATAAATCAACAACAGACTACCGCGGTATAGTTTCCAAAATTATGCCTCAACATCAGGCCATTTTGCCTGATGCCCCTTGAGTTCGCGCCGTTGTCACGCGACTTTAATTTTACCGATAGACTTCCAGATGCCTTGATTCCCACAAGTACTTAAAACCGACTTGCAGCTGGTGACTACAATTTGCGATTGCTAACTACCCTATATTTGTGGCTGACAAATGGGTGAAAGAATCAATATGCATGTCTGTATAGACAACTTTTACTTCGAAAGAGGGTGAGGAAGTCACAATTTTGGTAGAGTAAAATATATTCAAACTGGTGGAATGGTGTCGTTGTTAATTTTTGGACGAGAAGACAAGCCAATTGCGAAAAAGGGGACAGGGCACAAATTCAAACTAATGGCAAAGGTCGACGGTAGAGTGAAGTATTTTCCTGTTGCAGCAGACAAACGCAATAAGTTGTTCAAACAAAGCCATGTAGCTATGACAACATTTTGGATACAACTAACAGACTCAGACCTTCCGCAACAGTTTCAGCTTCTCTAACCTGGGCGAGTACGTTACACGCTTTGTGGTTCTATCTCTTACACTTTAACTGTTCTGTACGATTTTTTATCCCGGAACCGGAGACACTGATCGTTATAATGGCTAACTGATGTCAGCGGCGTTTATGGTGTCAGTTTCTATTCAGAATGCCTGGCTGAGTGTTGGAGGTGTGGGCATTCCGGATATTTTTTGTAGTCTGACCCGGGGTTTCCTTTTCTGTCGCATTCCTTTCTGGTCTCCTTTGAAAGACTGTATTCACCTACATTAACGTAATTTTACGTCCGAGAAATACCATTGTTTGTACCTGGTGGTATCGTTAATTAAGATGATGTTGACTGACTTCAAGAACAAATCTTTAAGTCCGCATGATTCAGCCTCCTTTTGTTTCAGCCGAGTGAGATATCAGCAATACCTATTGTGTTTGTTGTTTTCATATTGGTGTTGCAACGATGTGCCTTTTCTGTCTGTCAGACGATACGTCAAGTAAAATATGTGCTGGTTAATCCTCTGAGCGGTAATAATAAGATTCTAGTGAATATCACAGATACTGAAGTATCAACCATCCAAGTCCCGCAAATAGATGGGCATTGGTTAGATGTTCTTATTCGGTGGAGTTGTATAAGCATATCTGTGTTTGCCCGGGTGCATGAGTTGTGTATCCTTATGGTTAGTGCTCATGCGACAGCGCAGGATTCGACTCAAACGGCTGCCTTCAGTTGACGAATAGTACACCTTTCGTTTTTGATAGTTGATCAACAGGACTGAAGATGAGACCCCCAAATAATATATTAGAACAGATTTTACTGCACAACGATTTACCTTCACAGAGTGCCTGTCTATCATTAAAAATGTGAATCTTTCTGATTTCAGTGCATATAACTACAGCTGATGCTATATTGGTCAACATGTATCTGGTAAGAAAGGACATATTGAGGCATGTCTACCTAGACACACAGGCAAAAAAACCAAGTTTTGAGCCCGATGAAATGCGGGAGAAAATCGTATCGGTGACCAGAAACTAGAGGCTGCTTAAAGGTAAACACGGTATGTAAGTTTATTTTGCACCGCGTTGCATCTAAACTGCAAATGTCAGCAAAATACGCAATGCAAACAGTTTGTGAAATTTTTCACGCTGTATCCTGTTTTCGTCAAGCTAAGATTACTAACAATAGCCAAATTAGTTGTGATACGTCTACTGGACCCTCAACCTATTCTGACCTTCCATCTGCACACCTTAAGAAGAGGCACCCACTATTATCCCGTCACTACACTATTGCTAATACTATTGTACCGTTTTGACACTATTGCTGCAAACTTTTCCAAATACTGACAAGAATATTACATCCAGAACAAGCTTTTACTCGACAAATGAGATATTCTGACGCTACCTGTACTGAGATGTTTGTACCTGCAAATGCTGAAAATGCAAGGGCATTGGTGGTATGTTCATCACCCTGAATGATCATTAATGTGCATGTTGTGAACCAAACAGTGGTTGCGAATGTAACTTCCGTGTGCAGATATATTTCTTTTTTCGTCCTTGCTTTGTTTTCAGTCTTGAATTACATAAAATGCTGGGAAAGTACATAAAGAAACTAGGATCAGAGGCAACTATGAGCTGTTTCTAAACTTGTAAGTTTACGTTAAATTGGAAAGGTCTGGTAAAAAAGCTCGAAACAATGCTCTCCAAAAGTTTGATGCTCTAGTGCGATCAATGAATCAGGGGGGTTTGACAGAGTAGTCGATCTACATTTTAAGGTTTTCACCCTCGATTCACATGGTAAATTGGGGAAATAATTCCGAAAATAGTAGCCCCCTTGACAAACGTTTCTTAAAATTACTCCAATAGAAAGATTGCCAGTAGATTTATCCGGCTAATAATCTTTTTCTTGGTTAATAACATCAAGTGCTTTGTGAAATCCACGGTATGCAAACAAAAACTCCAAATGGCACAATATTATTCAGGCTACGTTGGAAACTTATTTATATCGTTTAGTTCCTTCATTTTCATTCGTATTTGAATTCGCATGTACACCCTCGTGCTTCTGAAACATGCCTGTGTCATCTTAAAATAAAATGAGGTCAAGGTGGCCGCTAAGTTTCAACTGCCCAACCTATTTTCTCCTAGTTTTACATGATCTCTTCGTTGACAGACGCCGAGTAGTCATAATTAGGGACACAGTGTGACGTGAATGCTATTCTTACAGGACGTAAGAAGTAGGAATATTTCTACTTGTTCGATGGAATTTCCTCCCCATTACGGATAACAACGAATGACAAATATAATTGAAAAAATTTCGGCAATTTCACAGAATTGCAGCATGAATTTTAAAACAGATGGACTCACCCATGGTATACACAAACGCTTGGTTCGTTCAAGAGCTATGTACTGCAACACTCCACGATTACTTCTAGTCACTTGATTACCGGTACGTGGATCTCTGGACCATCTTGTGATGCATATAACAATGGAATGATTCGGACCCCAGCGAGGTAGTAATCCTTTGCCTAGTAAGCCAGTTCGGCCCATTGGGTTGAGGGGAGCACCGGTCGTAGGGTCAAGACGATACCGACCCAGTAGACTTTGACGTCGTATTTTGGCATGAGGGTCATACTGATTGAAACTAATTCCACGTAGATTCTCACTGAGTTTGAAAGCAAAATCGATGTTTCCGTGTGTAAAACTGTGACACACAGATTCGAATGGATTGTCGATGGAATACAGCGTGGAAAAAAGACAATAATGCTCAGTTTAATCTCATTTTGCTACACAAAAAGCAGCATTAGGGATGCTCATCCAGAGTTCAAGCGCATGCCACGGGCGTCGTTATGCAGGCCAAGGCGTCATTGTGCAGGCCAGGCCTCAATCCCAAGCTACCAGGCAAACCGTGATGCAAAAAAGCATGCAACAATGGACAAAGTTTCATGGCCATAAGTTGTATGCTTCCGTCTGTCCAACTTTCACCAATGGGGAAATCATGCCGAATGTAGTCGTGAGGGGAGGGGAAGCGACCTAAACACAGACGTCTGCCTGCCAGTCCTTTGGTCGCAATCAAGTTGTGTGCTAGCCAGCACACGGAGTACAAATAGTTTTATCAGAGAGACACCTTACTTCTACGTGAACAGGCACCTCAAATGATGAGACAGTCCAATAAATTGTCATTGATCTCTACTACAAATGTTTGAGCTTCATACTTTGATGTTAGAAGGAACTAAATTCATTAGAAAACAGGATTCGAAGTAATTCCTGTTTCAGAGAATCACGAAGAATGCTACGCAAAGGGGCAGTGGAAACCTTGACCATCCGTCAAACAAACGATGATTAGCTAATTATTCTCTGTTTTCACTAAGGTCATAGCAACACGAGTGGTTTCATTGTTTGCTTTTGCTTGCATAAATAAGGATTCTACTGATAATAATGACTTCGATTTTTGACAAAATCCGTTTGTGGAATCCTGTAGAGTAATTTTACATACTTAGTAAATTAGACCAGATGCATTCAGGGGTCACTCTGAACCAGATTTTCTGGAGATAATAATTTGTGATTGTCACTTTTCCATGGTTGAAAGGCAGCGATGTGATAAAAGCTTGGATACGTGTTTATATAAGAGTTGCGGGTGAACGTCTATACAACGAATGAGCTGAACTGAATTCCTTCAAGATTTCAGGTTCAGTCTCCTCAAGTATTGATGTGTTACGTCTTTGACTAGATCCGCATTACGTTGTTTGTTTTCGGAGTTGAGGTTTGTTGTAAACATTGTGGACTTGTCAGTTTTTTTCGGTCGTATTATGTTGCCGTACTGGAAATAATGAGGCACTGAATATGCTCCAGTGGGCTAGAAGCACACTTGAATGGGAAATGTTATATGGGCTCACACTATCTCCAAGCAGAAGTTTCCATAGCCTAAAACTGCTGAAGAATACCAACAAACTATTTGACCTGGGCTACAGACTGAAGTCAAGTATACTCAACTCATCTTCACTTACACTGAATATTTTGGAACAAAGATTCAAACCAGTATCTCGATAGACGCCTACATTGAGAAACGCTGTTCCTACAAAGTGGATACTTTCCAGCTAGGATGAATTTCAAGTTCACGTCAGAAAACTGATCCCATAAGAAATCACGCACCGGCAAACTTAAGAATAATGATTGCTGGAAAGTAAAAAACACTCATGTCAACAGTTCCTCACCGAAGGACGGTAACTATTGAGAGAAAACATCCTTTGGTGGGGCGACATCTTTTGTCCTGCCATCGGAATGAAGTTGTGCAAGTGTTTCTTACTCAGTTTTAACTGGAGCCTCGTGATATCGGTGTATACTTTTGGCAAATAAGCACAATTTAGACGTAAGTCAGCATCATTAAGACAAACTTTATTGGCTATGAGCTATCTGGATCTGCAGCCTGGTCGATGTAGGCGTATTGACGGGGACTGATACATATGCAGTGTTGGTGCGATCCTATGTCAGATACCAAGACTTAATCAATGGCTCTCAAGGAAATGAACATGAGACACTGATTCTTATTCGGAAGATGTAATAGTTAATGATAGATGAAATAGTTTTTGTAAAAATGTTGCATTTTCTGTATGTATGCTCAAACCAAAAACCACCACAATCTGCTTCTTTCAGGGATTTGTTTTAATTAACATCCCTTGGTTTTTGGCGCGCAATAAATTTTACAGTTGCAGTGCTATGGTTTCAGATAAGTTTTTTCGAGAAATTGGCAGTTGTTCGGCTTTTATCCTTCACGACCTTTGAGAAGACGTTAGATGAATACACAAGCTAAAATTACGTGCAGGGTAACAGAATCACCAGCGTTGTTTTGCCTTCGATTTGATGTACTAAAAATGCAGCAGGTGGCCAGGAAAACCAACAGAAATTCCAAAAAAAAACCAGTAAGTTGAGCCCATTTACTAATAACAAACAGTGCACCAAACACCGATTGTTTACTATGGCTTTGTATATGGAGGCACAGGGACCATCGCTTGTTATCTTGAACACAATCATAAAGTGACCAAGTTTTTGTACGATCACTTCCTGTATATCGACGGCTAACGGAAGAGGAGTTGGGCACCTGCAGGGTCCTGCTAAAGTGTGACAGGTGGTATGTTTTCCAAAGTGGTTAAGCTTCACGAGTCCCCACATGCGTTTGTGCTGCAGTCGGGAGAAGATCACTACAAACCCTACATCAGTGTACCAGAAAACTCAACCTACTAGTATGGGTCATCATCGTCCAGAAGCATTGCGTTCTTCACACTTGCTACAAGTTATACGTATATAATGAATGTATCTACCGCGATGATTACTTGGAACCGCAATTCTAGAGGTTCGACGTCACAGAATTTGGCATCCGTCTATCTTAGCACAGGGTACAGGACAAGATTTAGTTAAGGGAGTGATACTACCGCATATTTCGCGTCTATGAGTACAATGTAAGCCCTAACAAGTTCCATAAACTATTATGGCCATGGAACAATCCGGAACTTCCACCACTTGCAGGCGATTCACATTTTACCGCAGTTCGGTTACCTTATTTCTTTAGGCACCGTTTACCAAGTTGAGGTAAATGTTGACTTTGACCATTCGCTCACTCAAACAGAGAATTTTCAGAAAAACGCCTTGAACATAGACATTTTTAATTGTGAAATGGTAGCTTTGAAAACGTCTTAGTTTCCGAGAAAGTTTCTGTTCTCCGAGTACCGATAGGCTCATGAGGTAGAGTAGAATATACATACTAGAGAAGAAAAGCGGTCCTTTTTGAGAAATCGGGCCTGATTGACCAGAAACCAGCTCCATCTAGGCAGCCATGACAATAAGAGCAGGAGTGATAATCCAATTTATCAAACTGCTCATAATTGTATTGTTGATTTGTGTTCGGCTACCCGGGACCACAAAAGTTAGAAGTGCTGTGAGGTAGCAAACGATTACCTTTCAAAAGTTATTTCTATTGTTACGACTGCGTTTGATTGTTGAGACTATTAGCATCATTCTTTCTTTTTGAAGGGCTGCTTGTTGAGGAATTTACAGTCGGCTATTGAAAATTTCTCAGTTAATGACCTTCTTTACGAAGGAGCTGCCCTGAAAATCTACAAAATACTTCCTCTGGCTCATCCTCTCCCTTTTTGCACGCGTTGGACAAAGTTTGTGGTAACTGAAACGTGACCGTTGACAACAAAGAACCAAACAAGGGTAAATCTGATTTTAAGGCACCCGAATGCGCTCCGTCTCCCGACCAACTCCAGTATTAAACCTATGGGATAGAAAACTGTTGATGACCATTTAAGCGTATGTACATATGATAGTATAAACAGGACGAGTATAAGAAGGCACACTTAATCGTTGTTTGGGGGTCCCTCTGAAGTCCGTAGTCTTAGCTATCTTGCCATAGTATCACTAGAAAATGGAGACTGTGGGGTGGGGAAAAACCTGAAGCATGCTTCATTAAAGAGTTAATATGACCTTGAGTCGATCACCATAGTTTACATCAATCCGGAGGACCTGACGTGTAAACTCACTTTTCTCCGTCGTGTGCATCTTCCGATGGATAGAGGAGAACTTCTTCGCACGCGTCATAGGCAAAGTAGTCTGGATATTCCGCCTAAAATACCACAAGTGAGATGATCATTTTATGTCTTCCAGCGGTTATTTATTCATGTTGTTTATATCAGATTTTCGTAGAAACAATATATGCTATCCAATTCATCCGTTATGTGGACAGGCTAACGTGTCGTCAGTTAGTTCCCTTCACAAGTCCCACCGCTTCACATCAGGCGGGACGAGTAATACAACTTGGCTGAACACTGCCAATCCATTATCACCTGACCGTCACGTGTGAGACCGACTTGATCTGACCTATCTTGTTTTTTTTACGTCTGTAATGACCGAAAATTGGAAATTAATGTTGTTTTTTGGACGCACCTAGATTTTTCACGGTGTGCCGCCAGGTCTACAGGTAATCAGTCAGCAGTTTAAAATGTCATTTTAATAGCCAAATCCTATGATTCTCTCGTTCCTCGGGAATTTATTTCTTTACGAACACCAAACTTGGCTTGTGTCTTGCTTCGAAAATGTTTTAGGTTTCTATAGCGTGGGGAAACTTACTGGCTGAACTTGCACAATCATCCATTAAAATTCGCTGGCTTTCGTTTAAATCAAAGCATACCCTCGCATGACCCAAATTCAATGGATGCTGTTTACCGGAGCAGCTACGCATGGTTGATGTATTGAAAAAAGTACGGCACGTACCTAACGTGACCGAGACAGAACAGTGCACAATGCTGAATTTTGATGAGCTTTCATTCTATCGTTTCATCCTATGTTTTTGTTACTCGCATTTACTTCTGTGGCCTATGGCGTCATTTCAGCGGAAGTTACAGAGAGTAACTGCAATTTTACGGCAGTGGAGTTCCTGATTTCAGTTTATTTATAGCATTTTACTTTCAGTAGGGCAGGAGGATCAAAAGGTGGTTGGGACAGAGCGAACAGCGTTCCAGACTGGTCGTAGATTTCATAAAACATTGATGTGTGCAGTGGGATGCATACATTTTCTACTGGCTCACGGGTTTTTACTTGCGCACCGGACGATACCATAAATTTTGTTACGAGGGCTGCTGATGCTATCGTAAATGGACCCGAGTGAACCTAAGCTTCTGCAGGTATCGAAAGAGAGCTTGAATCTCATGTTAATTGCAAACTGTTTGAGTGAACATCCAGTATACTGCCTTGGTTTGGACGCCTTTGTTTTGCTGAGTATTCTTTTTGCCTGACGACCTGACGCATTGGTTGTCAGTTTCACCCTCTTGGTTTGGAGGTCAAGAGGATCCCGACAACAACAGGTCAGATGATTAGTGAGATTTAGAGGGTGGTGGGATTATCAGTTAATGAGTACCATAATTTTGATTTGTATATTGCTGTATTTTGCACTACATTGACACCAGCCATCGTTTACGTGTAAAAGTGTGAGGTGATCCTGTCATGTAGCTTTAGCAGTCGCCAGATGGCTGCAGGATGCAACGATGAAATCTTTTTGCCAGCTGACGAAAACAAAAATCTTATGCACACAACTCTGCAACCCTGGAACACGCCAGGTGACTTCGTTAAAACCAAATGTAACCTGCGGTGGCCGGTAACGAGGAACGAAGGCCGACCGCCATTGCAGCTTAAATTAACACCAACCTTTTTCAGCGACTTGCTAGTTGGCGAACGCACATCAGTAACATTATTTTGCTTCAAAATAGCCATCTACGCCTCAAAAGGATGCAAAAGTAAACATAAATGGTGCTGCAAAATGGAAACAGATGTTTTCCATATCAAGGAAGAACTGTTTTGATGAGGAATTCCTCAAACAGGAAGAAATCGATTTTACCGTCCAGGCCATCCTCTCGGGTGGAACGTTCATTCGCATGCCAGGATACTTCTCGAAGTTGAATGGTGCGATACGCCATAAGCGATGCTCAGCCACATTTCGTTCAATTACTCTTCCCGTTCGGTTGTCGGATACATCGGGAGATTTTACAGGATCTGCAGACGGATCGCCACCTTCTTCTGAACCGCTAGAATC